CTTTTAAATCAAAGAAAACCACCATAGTCGGTCGTCTGTATGTGTGTCTCTGAGTTAAAATTTGAAAAGTAAACATGCAGTCGATACAACTACGGGCGGAAGCCAGCCTGGCTTTCAGTAACTCGGTTCTCACGGGGAACAGTAAGTTGTCAGAGAATGATACCCGCGATGTTTGAATGCAATGAAAACCATGCTAACACCTCGATGGTTTTCGCGCAAAGTGCGCTGACCATTCTACAAGACGGGCACGACAGTCGTCTGTTTGAATGCACCTATTCAGTGTTCCAGATCATGTTAACTAGAGACACAAGTGCAGGCAACAAAACGTCCCCAACCAACTTAAAACAGAGATAGAGGAACGTCGTCGCGTTCTTACGTCTTGCTTCGTCTTAATGCGGAAAGCGTATGTCGAATCTCTCCCAAAGTGGGATGTGTGACGTCTACTTTCAACGCCGGCTCAGGTGATTCGGCAAGCGACGTTGTCTCAGCGAGCCTGCGGAACTGCTCTTTAAAGTGTTCCGCTCCATTGGCTATTCAACGAGGCTAATAATGGATCAGATGTCCTTCTTTCTCAACTATTGTTTCGCTAACTGATAGCTTTCCCGGACCCATGTTCCGCATGAGCTGGAATACCACTCGACTGTTCCCCATAGCGCTGGCTTTCATCTCACGGGTGCTTGCAACCCACCAACGTTCCCGGTCGATCTAAAGACTCCTTTTCACATGTCGTTTCAGTGAGTTACGGACACGCTGAAACTCTGCTCATCAGAACCCGTTTCCGTGCTTCGATCAACTGATCGATAGAGACCTAAAGTTGTGTGCACAGCAGACGTCAAAGGGATTCTTCAAGACACATTTGAGACGATCCCAGTCTAAGTTCGGCTCACCAGCCTCATTCATCACTGACATTTGGTGGGCCAGGTCGTTATGATATTGTTAAAATGCAGATTGCGAATTCAAGTTAGAAGATAGATGCTTCTTTGAAGCGGGAACAATGAGCGGTAAGCGTGCGCGCACTAGAGCATGATCGGTATCCAGGCACATGCTCCAAATTGACCGGCAGTCTTGGACTGATGTGCGGCATCTGTAGCTTATGGCAATATGGTTAATTTGGGTCCAGGTCAGTGAGGAATTCGGTGGGTGCCAGGTGACGCGGTGTGGACGGTTGCGCTGGGATGCAATGCTGCTAAGGTAAAGGTGATAGTCGGCGCACAGTCGGCGTGCATCGACTCCGAAGCGACCGCCCAGGTGTTGTTCAGAGTCCGAACAACTACTTGGGCATTCATATCCCCAGCAACAATCGCGATGTCAGTATTCTTCCCCATACGAATAAGAGATGAGAGCTGTTGATAGAAACCGTCTTTGATACAGTTTGAACTACATTCAGTAGGGACATAAACTGCGACAATGAAAACGCACATTGTCTTCAAACGCTGCTTACTAACTCTAATGGAGGTTAGAAGTCGAACCGCACACATGCGTCTGTTCACTGGTATTTAGTCGAGCAGATTGCCGACAGTATGTTTACTGAGGGCAATACCAACACCGCAAATACCTTGAGCTATTGACCCAGTATCGCCAGAAAATTGAAGAGTGTAGTCATTGTCATCAGATGCAGAACCAGGGAGTCGAAGATTCCTTATGACGCTGTAATACTGTATGTGTGTTTCGAAGACACAACACACATCAATACCAAGAGAGTGAAGAGTGAGAGTTAGTGCTGCCTGTTGACCGATGTGATCTAAAATGTGGACCGGGATTTCAAACCTTTGTCCACCGCGTAAATCATTTGCGACCAAGTCGTCAGGAAAGACGCAGCCTGGTATGCTGTCTTATTGCTTGATTGTATGGGACTTCATCCTATCGATGACTGTCTTGAACTGCTGTACCCAAGTGAACGATAATTTCGGTGCTTCCAGCCTAACCTTGCGGTGGTTTCATTCAAGTCCATGAACCGACAGACAGTAGAATCCGTCTTCGGGATCTAACTTCTGTCACGGTCTCACTTTTTGTGTCTACTAGAGAGAATTAAAAATGTCTAAGGCAATGATTTGAGCCTAAACTGATCAGCAGAATCACTAAATTGTTTAAGGAAACGGATCACGTAACGCGATACATATACCTCCCTACTAGTGAGAGCAGGTGCGAAATTTCACTCCCGAGAAGTGATGAGGCTGTTTCAGAAGTAGAATTTCATTGCTTCACCATTAAAAAACGCGATTTCACACTGCTTGCACTGTTTCCGTAGGTTCTCTTTCACACGCTTTGGCGTCAAGTCGGCGTCTACTGCATTCGATACGCAAATTTTCGTTGTAATCTATCTGTGCGCAACAGCAAGTCTACACTGACGAATGTTGGATCTAATTACTACTAGGGCCATAAGTACAGAGTTCGCATTACCGCGACCCTGCAGAAACTTTTACACTTTCTGACATGCAGTCACAATTGAGGTGACTATTGGAAGTGAATCATTTCCTCCATTGATGTCTTGAAGATTCGGCCATTGGCAGAAATGTGCTGTTTTCATGTGGGATGAAGATTCTTCAATGTCTCGCAATTACCGGACTGAGCTGTACGCGAGTTGAAGTGACGATGTCTGCTTGAGTTTTTACGAGGTGACCGTTGGACGATAAACCTTAGGCTAAAGTGTCGTTTACGAAGACCACAAGTTTTATCGTTTATCGCCAGCATACCATTTTGCGGCATCTCTAGATGCTAGCAACTTATGCCTAGCTGACTTCTCTTCGCACTGCGACACATGAATTCGTCCATTCTTCCAATGGATTAATTTAATTTTTGCGTTTCGAGAACGACTTTCTCTTTGGTAGGTAATTGCTTTCAGTACTTCATCATTAGACTATTGCATTCCTATTCGAGGGCTAAGCAATTGAAATCGTTCGTGTTAGTTCATGCCACGTAAATCACGTGAGGTTCAGTATCGGCGACGAAAAAACGACGTCTTAGTGGGTTTACTGCGTGCTACTGAGATTGACTTTGGTAGTTGACTTCCGTGTTTTTTTCACTGGTCAGGGAAGCTGAAGAGCCTGGACTACACCATTTCCCGGCCAAGTTGTCCTCTTGGGCAACAGAAATTATCTGAGGGGGCATTCAACATGATTCTACTCAATTAATTTGTTCCGTGCGTAGGAGCTGAAGTGTCCCACCTGCACCCCTATGACTTAGTGCGTCTGAGATCCAATTGGCTGAAGGCAACGGGCTATACACGCACACCTACACACCCGCACAAGTGACTGGCGTGCGCACGAAACAAATTAATTGAGTAGACTCATGTTGAATGCCCCCTCAGATTATTTCATTTGCCCAAGAGGACAACTTGGCCGGGAAATGCTATAGATTCTTCTTCGAACATAATTACCGTTGAAACAATCAAACGCTAATTGTTTCGGTCGTCGCAAGTGTACGAACGCGTAACCCTTTGGATCGGTGCGGAAGAAACTTGTGCACTATTCTATATTTATCTAATATCCAATGTCGACGATGTGGGCCAGAACTGAAGTGCTAATGGCACTAGCGCCGCTTTGACGCAACCAACTTGGTTAGTGCTCATTCGCGCGGTTGGACCATTATGCGTTTCTCCACGAGCGCACTCAAACTGAAAAGTAATTATGGATGCGGTCAGCGTTGGCAACTTCTTCTTGTTTCGTGAACGAACGAGTTGTTCTGTTGAAAACACACACTTTAGTGAGGCTGCTACGAAGTCTATTTAGATGCGATCGAGGCTGGAACGGGACGATAAGAGTGGAAAAGCGTAAGTGGGGGAATAAGAAGACGGGAAGGCTTGAGCAGTAGCATCCAAACCCCTAACCACCCTGTTCGATGCAGCAGATACGGCACCGTTGATTATTCTCTGCGGCGGTATCAGGAACTTGTTTGAGGAAAGATTGCGTGGGCAAAATACTGTCAGGTCGCCGAGGCCTAGACAGGAGAACGATTAGCGTTCGCAACCAAAGCCTTTGGTTCAAAAACCTGACCGCAAGGCAGTGGGTTTGGCGTTGGGCTACAAAGAGTCCGTGTTAAGGAATAAGAAGCCATCCTCATTCCAATCCCAAGCTGGACGACCAGGAGGCTGAGTTTGTCTTGTCTCTAGGCATTGACCAATCTGGTATGAGTGGCTCTGAAGATGCAAAAATCGCACCACCCAGCATAGCTCCACTGATCACTGAGGCACACAAACCATCGCACCACAGTAAGGTCCAACCTCATTACCATGGGATCTAGTTAGATAGTCGCAGATGTATTCGATTGTCTCACTAAATGGGACCTTGGTAAAAACCGCTATAATATTATGTGTGAGTGTTACGTTCATTAAGTTGGCATCCTTGATGCTTCCGGTGAACGTAAAGCTGTGACGTAGACCATAAGTTGTGGGCTGTTGTCGGATAGTTTTGCAGGAATTTCTACAACCTACTGAGCGACCGCTTGGTAGTTTGCTTTGACCGCCGATAAATAGGACGGATTTTTCCATAGGCTTTGTGGAGTTTTGGTAAACCATAAAGCCATGGAAAGTTTGTGCCACTCGGTCGAAGGCTGTCATTCAGAGCATCGGATATGTACCCCTTATTCTAGAACTTATCGTTCCTTTCGGTGCATTTCCCCTGTTTTTTGATTGCGCAGAAAATTTTCTTATAACCTGTTGTGCACTCTGACGTATGTGGATTAGGTAACTTTGCTTGTGTTTTGTCGCTGTGTGAGTGCTACTCAATTAGTTGAAACGAGGCAATACGCATTTCAGTACTTGGTTTGCACCTTTCAGACTGCGAGTACTACTACTGCATGGCCTGGTCAACACACATTTTGTTCTCAACATCACTAGGATGAGACAACTTCTATGCTGGTGCATCCATTGGATGTGTTACTACTAGGGTCATGTACTCCGTGTGGCTTTTCATTTCTCACTTGTTCTTTAACTTGAAGTGACAATCACTTTTCTGTCGGTGATAAAACACACGATCATTTCATTTCCTCTGTCTTCGTCATAGGCAGTTGAACATGCGGATTTCAAAGTTGGGGTGGAAATTGACGGCATCATTCACCGAGTGTATGTGTTGAAAAGACCGCACGTAGACACTTTTCTTTCCACTATGGCGAATTTGTACGAATGTGTCCTATTCACAGCTAGTCTGGCCAAAGTAAGCTTCGGATTCACATGTAATGCTCCCGTTGGTCTGTTGCTTTGGCTCTTACCCGTTTTCCTGATATCATTTTAGTTCCACATTGTACTTATTCTAACTTTGACGCTAGGCGCTACATCTTTGCATCCTTTGTTGTCTAACGGACTGTGTTTTCGTCTGATCTCATGCTTCAATCCCGTCACTCAAATGGAATATTCTTCTTGTGAGATCTAAGCACACAGATACGCACGTCTGAATAATTTTAGGACAGTAGAAACACTACCTACTCTTTAGATCGCCTTAATCAACCTAGCCATTTCCTTCCATTAGCACTCGGGTTTCCAGACATTCACCTTCTAGTTTACACATTCGTCTACCTCGTGAGCTGCATCAGCGTTGGCAGGTTAATAGACGATTTTGTGAATCCCCAAAACCTGAGTAACCTTTGCCAAGTTCCGATTTCTAAACTACCAGTGAGACTCCATTTTGAATGCCAAATATAGTACGCTACGGAGCTAACAGTGTTGCTTTACGGCAGGCACAGCTGGTCCGTTCTCATGACCGATGATCAGAGACCATATGTTCTTGATCGCCTCTGTCTCCACAACAGAGCTACTGTTCGTTTCATACAACAGAATAGTAATGATGAAGTTTGCTATCGGATCTTCGAGTCAGACAGACTCTACCGACCGCCAAATGGCATAATTTTCCTGCATAGGATATAATTTGCTTCGTATACCTACTCAGTAATTACCTCACTCGCCCTCTTTGCGCGCACCATTGTTGCTCGAAAAGGACGGAGAGATAGTCATCACAAAACGTGGACTTAGGGTGTCACGCACTGACATCAAAGTTGGCCGCAGTCGGTCATTCCCCACTACCTGATTGTAAGCCACAAATCGCGAACACACCTGGTTGGAAGATAGCAAATTGGACTAGAATTACACTCAGTTTTCAAAATGTGAGACTTTTTTCTCGGGACTGTCTTTTTCTAGCTCCCCTATTGATTTCAAATGTGTTGTGGTACTCTGTCCATTGTATGTTGTTCGGGTGTTGGAGATATTATCAGTGTGATCACGAGGCAGATGGTTCCCCGATCGCTTACCTAATGAGATGGTTGGCTCGATGTGCCGCGCATTTTCATCCCCCGTTGATTGCTCTTACGGTAGACTTGCATGCCTCCTGAGCCCAGCTGCCTATCTTGAGTCAGTGCCTTTGATCCACCTGACGAAGCGAAAGTCTGCTTTGCGATTCGACACTTGAGGTATCTCAAGATAACCCGATCAGACCGAAATCGTCTAGGGTTGTTTAAGTATGCCGGCTCAGTATTCATCAGCCGACTTGCTTCATTGTTCTCATAAATTTGGCATGAACCAAAGATTCCTTCTTACTTGGGTGACCAAAGCAGAAACTGCGTTTTAGCGCCCATAGCATGCGCAGTCCGGTTCGGTGTAGTTTGTTCACGGACTTCAAATCGCAACGTGAGAGCACGCCTAGGTCCTTTACGGAAGGTGTGGAATGTAGCAGTTGGCTGTCAAGAGTATAGGTCCGGCTGTCACCGCCCTTCCCCAGGCTTATGAATATCGACTTGGATGGGTTCACCGGGAGGCGGACTTCTGCAGACCACATCGAAATTTGTTTGAATTCTTGTTGAAGTAAGCCGCAGTCGTCGGTTGTGCTTATCACTCTACATTTTCAGGGCCTCCGCAAACGGGACACTTGGTGACCTAAGAACTTGAGGTAAATTGTTGATATAAAGCGGGAATAATGTAACCCCAGCACAGTGCTTTGGTGTACTCCAATGAGCGAAGGAAACCGGTCACTCAGCTGGTTATCGACTTGCACCCTGTACTTTCGTGCAAGGAGGAACCCGCGGACCCAGTGCTGCAGTGAGCCGCCAACACCGCATACTCTCAGCTTGTGATGGGGGATGTCTTGGTTTATCTTCTTGAACACTTTGCTGAAATCGATGTATATCACGTCGACAGACTTCTCCTGATTCACTGTTTGCAAACCACTACTGCATCAACACGAGCAGATTGGAGATGCATGAACGACCTAGCATAAATCCGTGTTGTGCGGGCGTCAGATCGTTTGGCCGGGACAGCTGTAGTAAGCTCTTATTCACAATCTTCTCTGCAACCTTTTCCAAAATAGGTATAGAAGTTATTGGTCTGTAGTTGTCTACCTTGCTGGAGTTTTCCATTTTTCAGAATCGGCCTTACCACCGAGTGTTTCCGATCAATCCGCGACGAACCTTTGGACTGCGACTTGTTTAACAGGTCAGTCACAGCGGGCGAGATGATAACCAATACGGACTTGTGAATCAGTGCTGGAGCTCATGTAACCCAGCAGCATTGGTGCCGTCAAGGTTGCCGAGTAGTTGACGCACCTCTTCCACGCCACAATCCAGGCTGTCGAATTCGGTAATAGCAATGCATGTCGAACTCGATACAGACACCTGTTCATTTGCAATCACTGAAACGAAGTGCGCCGCCAAGGCGGACGCACGTCTAGTCCTGGATGCTATGATGTTTCCGTCCGCACCCTCTATCACTGGTGGGTCACATACGAGCTCCAGGTGCCGCTTCACGTACGTAAAGATTCTCTTTGGGGCTGTCTTTGCGGCGGTTGCAAGCTTTTCTTCGAAGTACCTGAGCTTCCCCCTTTTCACCCTGTTGCATAGATTTCGCTGCTTTTTATACACATCGTAGTTGTCGACTGATCCGGAGATAAGGAATTTGTCCCACAGCATGCGCCGTCGCCGAGCCATTTTACCATATTCCTTGTGGAACGATCTGACTCTGTCATTTAGAGGCACAAACCAGTTACACCATGTGTTTGCTCAATTTATTCTAGCTAACCAGCAACTTTCAACAGATGCGCAGTACGACAGAGACTTGGCTAGTCGCTCGGTACAAGCCAACGAAATCTCTATTCCAGTAGTTTTAATCTGATTGCAGTGCTTGATATTGCTGCACCGGTAGCAATAAGTACTGAATGATCCCTTACTGTTAGAGGCTCCAGGATGCTAATTTCATGCATATGTTGTTTACGGTTTGTTAACGTCAGGTCTATGCACGATGTAGTTGCGCGCGGTGTTATGCGCGTCGGTTGATAGATGTTTTGTGCTGACCCAGTTTCAACTATCATCTAAGCGAACTTTGCTTTGACATCATCATATCCATTGGTAATTGAACTTCAGGCCAGCGTATTTAAGAACAGTTAAAATCACCAGTGAGTAGAAATGGTGCCGACTCATGTGGTCCCGGAGATGTGGGTACCAATCCGAAAGCGGCTCAAACGACTGCGATACAATGTACAACAAGTAGTTCTTCGCGCCATTGCTTACGCGGTGCCGCCACCACACACGGGCAATTGACCGCAAAAATCGGTGCTCGAAGACGGATAGTCTGTGCATGTCATCTTTACGAATGGACCAGATCTCGCATCCGTACAACAGTACAGCACGAACAGTTGATGGAGAGGTGAGTGTCGTGGCGACGCCACAAGTGCCTCAGCCTAAAAAAAGCGAGGCGTGCTCTCGAGATGCGCATCGAAATCTCGTCCCCAACAGCGCTGCCAGCAGTGATGCAACTTCCCGAGTAGACAAAGCTCCCCACAACCTCTAGTGTCTCACCACCAAGAGTGAGTGCAGGTACAGGCACCTGCCAGTCTTGAAAGAGAGCCTTGCTTTTGGATGTTGAAAAGTACATACCATACTTTGGTGCTTCAATCGCCAAGCGGTTTAGTGCAAGTTGGACGACGTGTGGATCGTCACCCAGCAAGACGATATCATCAGCGTAATCAAAAGCAACAAATCGACTACCTGAGAGGAGCTCAACACTGGCGTCCAACAAGTCTTCTATAGCATTTTCGAAGACATCCTCAATGGCAAAGTTGAAGAGAAATGGAGAGATAGGGCATCCTTGTCGAACTCCACTGGAGATCACAAAGGTAGGCAAAAGCTTGCCATAAGCCCTAACTGCCCGAGGTCAGACCATAAAGAGTGCGCAGTATGGAGACGAACTTCTCGGGGACACCATTCCTCAGTAGGCAGTGCCACAGTACCGTACGATCGACAGAATGGAAGGCTGCACGGATATCCAAGAACACAGCAATTGTTGGCCTCTGATACACATAACGGAGCTTGAGGATCTGGCTGAGTGTGAAGATTTGATCGATGCAGCCGCGACAAGGGCGAAACCCAGCTTGTTCTTCTTGCTTCATCGATTCGCGCGTTAGAGATAGCCTGCGAATTATGATGGACACCAGCAGCTTGAAAACGACGCGGTCTTAGTTAATGGCTCTGTAGTTGGGGCAGATTGTGCGCAGGCCCTTTATGAAGATGGCGACGACTATCGATTCACCCCAAGATGATGGAACTTCCTATTTCGACTAAACTTTCGAGAACAAAGCTGAGTTCTCGAACCAGCGAAGCGCCACTATCTTTAAGTAGAGCCGGGGGAAGACCATTAGGGCCGGGTGCTTTATAGCGCTGCAAGTAGCGGAGCTCCTGCTCGATTTCCTGGTGAGAGGGAGGATCTGTGGGGGTAGACTACTCGGCCTCAGCGCGAACGCCAGAGATAGCAGATGCAGCTGGGGGTCAACAGAACTGCGAGCCAAAATGTTCGGTCCATCGCTCCAACCGTCGTTGAAGATTTGTGGTTAAGGTGCCATAATCTTCGCATATTGTTTCACTTATACAAGATCGAACACTTTCGATGACTCGAATGAGCTGGAAACGTTTTGTGGTATTACCAGAGAGACTAGCAAGCACCGTCTCCCTAGCACGTTCACACCACCATGCTTCGCGGTCCATTTGCAGACTCCTGCACAACTCTCGACCAAGGTATTGGCGTTCTTCACTGTGTCTGCAATCGGCCGGGATCAAGCGGCGTTTGTCCATCAGTGACAAGGAGACGGCGGAAATCCACTTCTTCGGTGGGTGACGGGAAACTCCACAAATGTCGATACTGACGGTAACTAACGCATCCTTGATATGCGCCCACCGCGAA